TACTTTCACTATATATAACGACCTTTTATATTTTCGAATGTTGAAACAATAAATAAGAGACCGCTTATATCGACACAATTTTTCAACAAATTAATCAATAAGATGGATATGGAATCTAGGAAGCCAGTGCATCACTAGAAATTGGTTGAAACATCAAATTTATGTTGAGAATGGTATGAAGCCCAACAAACTCAAATTCCACCAAAATTACATTAGACAAACATTTTAATTGCTGCCACTTGGTAACAGGACGATCAAAATCGATGTCCTCGGACGTGTCCAACAGTATCGATCATTTGGGGATGGACCTCCACTAGTATACCCATCTCCAACCTACTGAGAAAAAATTCGAAAGTTAAAAATATACATTAACAAATGAAAATGAAAATATAACGACAAAATATGGAGTACGAAAAACAATGTGATTGTCGAATTTTCAAAAACTAAATATGTAGTATTTACCTGCTGCACAATACGATCTATAGAATGGGGGGTAAAATCAAAAGTCTTGAGGAAATAATCAGTGCCCCATTTAATAATATCTTTAACCTGTGCTAGTTTTCCATCAGCTTCATACTTGGCACTGTATTCTATCACGCTCCAACTAAACGTAGTCATAGCAAAAGACGTCGGGAAATTGAACTTGATTGCATCCCCGACATAATAATATCCCCCTGATAAAATTTTGAAGATTTATGAACTTTTAGATTGCCCGTCATCTAAGCCAGAATCTCCCTTCTGTGACACGTTATTCTTCCCTGGTAATCTTCCAGCTGTAAATATATAAAAAAAAAATTGTGGAATATAAACCAATTTCTACATATTGTACCATTACAGCAACCTTCTCATGATATCAAATATGTGCCAAAGAAGTATCAATGAACAATTTATTTTTATTTTTATTTTTTCGTAATCAATGTCCAAATATCCTCATTTTAATAAACCAATCGGGTGGAACTAAAACAATTTTTTGCGAGAGCAAAATAACTTCAAGTATATAAATACATATTCAAATTGAATATTGAATTTAATTTAATTTAATCTGCTGAAAAGGGGGTCTGTTTCCAATTTTGTACAAACTTCAAGTATATAAATCCATATTCAAATTGAGTATTGAATTTAATTTAATCTGATCTAATTTACTTACAGCGTTGGGCGTCGAAGAACATGAGCACCTTGTGTAGTTCCACTGTGTAATTACTCGGGGTCGGCAGGTGGTGGCGGGAAAACACGAGCTTCCCTATGGTGATTGATCCGGCCAGTAATATTATGGCCATGATGGCGCCGAAAATCAACAGGAGCACGTATTCCAACTTTACCATCTTCTTCTTCATCTTTTGGCATCACCCACGAGCTATCGTCAGTACTTTTTATTGTCTTGGAAAATAATCGAAGCGGAAGCTAGTGCAGCAGCTATTTCTATAGCTAATTCTGTACATCTTTGACACTCGGTAACAGGTGGAACATAATCGTTGTCCTCTGGACATAGCCAACAGTAGCAATCATTTGGGGATGACGTTGAACCAAATTACTTGGTAAAATGGAGAAGGGAAGAGAAATGGTAACAACAAGAACACAAAATCCCGTTGGAATTTTCGAGAAGATACTGCACCTGTGATATTTATTTTTGGGGAGATCTAAAGACAATGTCAATATTGACCTTTTAATAACATTTTAACTTATTACTTGAAGAGAAGGATAAAATCAACATTACTACAAGAAAATACTGCTTCAACGACCAAAATATTTCGTCGGTAACACAACCTTTCGACAAAATTTTCCCGTCGATACATACCGAAGGTGAAAGTCCCGTCGATAATTTTTTTGACGAAAACATAATCGTCGATTGTAACCGACGGATTTACCTTCAGATACAGATCCATCAGAAACACCTACGAATTTGAATGGATGTTATCAGCATCAATTTTAGAAATGACTTAGTACGAAGGAAGCTACCGATGGATTTTTTTCATTCCATTTATGTTGGTAAATTCCTATGGATATATCCATTTGTATTTTCGTTGATAATTTACCTACATTATTTTCGTTACCGAAGTCGCAGTTTCAAGTTTGTAAATTTACAAAAACAAAAAAAATTGGAAAATATATTTCTTAAGAATAGAGAAAATAGTTTTAACCATATATGACTGTACTTTGTTTTAGCTTTTAGCATATAGGTAATGTAGTATTACAATAAGTTGATCATATCTACATGATTAATGTCTGTGAATGTCGGGGCCAAAGATTGCATACACAACTTTATAAGAACAATTCTACTTTTACTATATATAACGACCTTACATATTTTAGAATGTTGAAACAATAAATAAGAGACTGCTTATATCGACACAATTTTTCAACAAATTAATCAATAAGATGGACATGGAATCTAGTAAGCCAGTCCATCACTAGAAATTGGTTGAAACAACAAATTTATGTTGAGAATGCTAGAAAGCCCAACAAGTTCAAATTCCACCAAAATTACATTAGACAAACATTTTAATTGCTGCCACTTGGTAACAGGACGATCAAAATCGATGTGCTTCGACGTGTCCAATAGTATCGATCATTTGGGGATGGACCTCCACTAGTATACCCATCTCCAACCTACTGAGAAAAAATTTGAAAGTTAAAAATATACATTAACAAATGAAAATGAAAATATAACAACAAAATATGGAGTACGAAAAACAATGTGATTGTGGAATTTTCAAAAACTAAATATGTAGTATTTACCTGCTGCACAATACGATCTATAGAGGTTATACGGTATAAGGACACATCTAAAATGGGACACTGCCTTTGTTAGTTTCTCAAGGCGCTCCAATCTTTGTGCATCCATTAGCTCTAAAGCCACAAAGTATGTCTTCATTTAAAGAGGGTCATGCGATCTTCCAGTCGATTACCTTATATCGGCCTCTCCACTATGATACTTTCGCACTCCTACATTTGGAGGTATCATGGCCCGCTTAATGGTATCTACAAAACTTGGTTGGGGACACAGATCTCTGTTCATCTTTCATGGTGCTTTAAACGATTCATTATTATTGATTCATATTTGATGGCCTTAAAGAAATTAAATAATAAATCAATTTGCACAAGATTTTTCCATAAAAAATTTAGATATGATTTCTTGATAAAATTCTGTATGATGTAGCAGCAACCAGGTTTCTTGCCAGATAATCACTTTTTTCTATTTAATAATCCCTCTAGTGGCTTCATTATCTTTCAATTTCAGCAGTTTCATAGCCAATTATCGTAACATAACTTTAGAAAAATCTACTGAAGCAGTAAACCAACAAGATATTGAGTACACCTACAAGTGTAGGCAGGGTAAACATATTCAAAGCTTATGCACCTTTGGGACAAGTCCTCGATGAAAAATCTCACAGATCTTGCGACAGTTGCATGAATCATGAACACAAGTTGTTGGCTTACCGTGTCAATCCACGGTGGTGGTGGTGGCGGTGGCGGAGATTGGAACTATCCAGATGGCAGAGAATAGTTTATTGTATCCTTGTCAATGCCCATGTACTTTTCACTGGACAAAGCAACAAGTGTCGTTACTAGACCGGCATTTCCTGCTAGTGTTGGTTTTGTAAAGTTGTAATTAGCTCGGAGATCGTCAAATCCATCATTTTTGTCAAGCCCGACAACCATGGCCCCAATTATGGTATTTGGATTGGGTTTTGGCGAATCACGCCATATCCATCCTCCTTCACAACTATATATTTTCCATCATTGGGAATTGAAGCCCCTCTGTGGTGGACCTTATTGGGATATTTTTCCATATCCCACCACATAACTCAGATTTCTGGGATTTATACCCAGGATGTAATCGATCTAATAGGTTAAGGAAAAATTATAAGTAAATACTGACAAATAAAATAAAATTCGAGTAGAGATATTGGGTCAACAGTAAAATTGACATGTGTGATTGTAAAATCCCGAAGCGTAGGCCTATAAAAGAAATATGGTCCACAGTTCCACCCATGAACACCAACAGCTTTGAGATAGTCAGTGTATAGCGTAGCTAAGAACATCAAGATTCGCTAGAGTGAAGCAGCCTTCTCGGTCGAACGACACATTTATGCTGCCAGACCTAATTCGTGATTTTGAACAGTTTTACATGGCCCATAATACCTAAACGTCCCCAACTATAAATACAAAAGTCTGGGATGAATTTTAGGTGGTTGCTTCATTGTGCTATCATTACAATATACATTCATATTATTGCTTAAAGATCCAAGAACTGAATTCATTGATT